AACCTAAATTATATTTTTTCATTGGACTAACTTAGTGGAGGCATTAAAACAAAAACAAGTTGGAGGGTAGAAAGGAACTAATATAATTGAATGGACAGAAATTTTAACCAACGAATTTAATTTGGTGACTTAAGGAAGCCAAGCAACATCAACCAAAATGGTCTTCACATGGTGCAATCATATAGTTTATTACACCAATACTAAGTTATACCTTTTAAAATCCAATTTTAATGCTTAAAGCAACATAGTAACAACTCCTCCACCTTTTCCTTAAAAATGTAAAGAGAAATCCATCTCATACTATACTTTTTTTGTGATGTATTAAGCCATAATCCGTTCTTACAAGTACATTAATATATATAATAAGAATTGAGAAATAAACAAAGCAAACGCACATATTCGCCGTAGAATTACAAAAGAGGAAAAGTATACAAGTCTTTTCTTATTACACACTTAAGAACGTTCTAGTATTGTTATTTATATTAATATTCGATTTTTTGTCCGATATGGTTAACATTATTAAGTAACATAATGCAAATCTCATATAGTGATTAATATTTATATACTTAATCGATGTGAGATTCTAACCCTAATACGTCTACATGTCAATGACAACTGATCATGCCATCAAATGATCGTTTGAGTTTTAGACGGTTCGAATTATTTATTTAAAATATAATGAAGTCTAACATCATTAAGAAGAGTAGTCCAATACCATCTATGTTGGCTAATATAATAATACTTGAATAATATTATTTAGAGTCAATAGTGCTAAAACATTAATCTAATTGATGTTATATGATTAGTCAATTAAAGGTAAATTAAATGAAAGAATATACATGTGAACCTCTTAAATTAGGCTTGACCTGTAATGTCAATTACAATATTTGTGTTTAAATATTATTGGTATTACGTAGCATTATTCTTAATTGATGCGAAATTTTACCCGAAATACTTTATACACAGGAAGGACAAAATTGATCGAGAAGATTAGTATACAATATGATTAAGTTCTACTAATTAATTAGGTTAAGTATGTGGACCCCTCAAGAAAGCAAAGGTCATTCCATAATCAAATATTTTAATGAACAAAGCGGTGTTTAATGATAAAGATTAGAATAATAAATCCAGATGTTTGCCTAATTATGCATTGGGACAGCGGGCATTCACATAAACTCCATCTAATTGGTTTGTACTTTCTCTTTGTGTCCTTTCTATTAAACTAAAACAAAGCTAAAAGGGTTTAACTCATAATCTAGGACACTAATCCTCAACATCAAAAGCTATTTATTAAACTAATAAAAAAAATTTAAGAAACTCCGTTGACGTCCCTACTCAAAATAAATAAGGATTATGTCACTTGTACATAAAAATGGTACATAAGAGATTACATAAAATGACGTGGAACAAAAAGATTGAATGAAAAAGTTGACAATATTTTAAACTGATAAATGATAGAGTAACATGTAACATTATTTAACACATTATGTAAGACTTGATGTACATATAGTAAGATCCAATAAATAAATTATTTCGTTTTTGTGATCATCTATCTATATTGATAATGATCACAATTAATTATGAAATGTATTATAATTTAGTGAGTTTCGAAGTTAGTGTCAATTGTCTTTGACATTTTTTTTTCTTAAATCAATCAAAAGTAATTGTATATAATGAGATAATTGTAACTTGTCGGAAGATTTATAAAGAGACGATAAAAAAAATATTTCCCAACAATCATTATGGATTTAGTGATTATGAGCACATTAATCTGGGAATTATAATGCTCATTTTGAGTTTTGGACAAATTAATTGTTCATTTGAATTTAATACTCCCTTCGTTCTATAAAGATGTATTTATTATTTTATTTTGTCTGTCTCAAATTATAAGCCACCTTTTTGTTGACAATGTAATTCATTTTTTTAATTTTTTAATACGTCCATATTTAGTGTGTGTTTAAGCCACATTATTTTGAAAGAATGTATTTTGAAATAGTAGATTGATGGAGAATGTGTGATTAAAAATGTGAAAAATTTTAAATTTACATGTAATGTTATTTTATTAAAAAATATGTGATTAAAATAATATCAAATTACTGTTTAAAAATATATTTCTTTTTTAAAGAATGCAGCTCACACGGGGGCCTTAATGTGTTTGTTATCAATAAGTATGAACTGCTCATAACGGTATATCAACAAAATATAAGAAAAAATTATACTTTTAACTATATTAATTTCATTTTTTTAATCTGAGTAAAAATGAGAAATAAATCTATTATTGTGGTATAGAGAGAGAGAATATTTTTATATTATATTAAGACCTAGAACATCATATTAAGAGGACAATCGATATGGGATAAATACAAAGACATTTGACATACTCCCATCGACAAAATGATGGCATGTTTGAGCTCATCAATGAATCAAAAGTTAGATTTGAATTTTACACAAACCTTTCGATAATATTAGGATAAGACTTGATGTTTCATTTCAAAATATTAATCATATTAATAGATTATAGTAGCAGTCCAAATTTATACACCTTAATAATTTATTTCAGATTTTTTAAGTCTTGACCATGTGTCTTTTTGAAAAATATTAAGGGCCAAATTTTCAATTCACTTTATTATACACTTAGACAAAGTTTTTGATAAAAATTAATTAAATATATGATTAAAAATTGATAAAAATTGTGTTTCTCATGAAAATATAGTTAAAATTAATTATTAACTTTGATGTTAATTTTTTACCAACCTTTTGAATTATCCCAAACAGTTAATTTTAACTTATTCACTCATCATAAAGATATATCAGGTGGTCCACGTGGATAAATGATGACTTGTACTATGTTAGGACCAGAAGCTAAAAGACAGTTCAGACACGTTCATGTGGGGCCGGAATGGTGGCTGATTTGGTAATTTAGGCAGAACTGCAGGTCAAACGTGAGAAAATATCAAAAATCTTAAGTTGAAAATTATAGTTAACCCTGTTTAAGCCCCAATCTTCCCAAAAAAATTAAAAATATTTTTAAACAGTATTTTAATATTATTTTAACTACACATTATTCAATAAAATAATATTACACATAAATTTAAAATTTTTTCTCATTTTTTAATGAATTAAGCCAAACGAACATAAGCTTTGACAAAATGAGTGACATAATACTCACAATCGAGGTGTGGGTCCCATGAATAAAATAATTTCGACCTCTCCCATGTGTATGTGCTATGTCAACCGAAATATCATCTTCTATGGTTATGTAGCACGGTTCTTTTTTAATTATACATTTCATATCAATACACTATTCTAAAATTCATTTTTTTCCCAAAATGGGACTCAAATGAAGGCTATGAACACAATTTTTATTTTGATATTTTTATCATATTTTAATTTTAATTGAGCTTCTCAATTTTTGCTCACTATAACAATTATTGTTAGGGACATGAATGATTATCAAATACAAAATTTGTTAATTAATAAAAGATTTGACGATAAGAATGACATGAAAAATTGTTAGGGACATAAATGTTACAATGTATAAAGATTAATACCCTTAAATTTAATTAAAATATAATGAAAAATTGTGCTGTAAAATAATTAATTACCATTTGAAAAAAGAGAAAATTTTGTGTTGGGTTTAGTGGGGCCAACCCTGTTCCCTGCTGCGGAGCGGAGCAGACAACCAATGGGACACCCTAAACATATCATTTCTCTTTGGGAGCTCAGTCAAAATTTTCCTCCTTTTGTCCAACAAGGAGTAGCAAATTTATTTTTTATTTATTTTTTTGCATTATTTATTGTTGACGTGACAAATATACTGAAATCTTAAACCCCGTTTGACCCATATTATTTTTATTAGAATGCATTTTAAATAGTGTATTGAAAAAAAATGAGTTATTAAAAAATATTTAAAAGTTTTGAATTTACGTAAAATATTATTTTATTTAAAAATGTGTGGTTGAAATAATATTAAATCACCATTTAAAAATGTGTTTTTTTGAAAAAAAAATGTGAGTTAAATGGGGTGTAAGGCTTTATTCAAGCATTATTTTTGGGCAAAAAAAGTTTTGTAATAGTAATTTGCTGGAGAATGTATGATTAAAAAGTTGAAAAAAAAATTTAGGTTTATGTGCAAAATTATTTTGCTTAAAAATATGTAGTTGAAAATGAATTTGAGGAAAAAATAAATATAATGAAACTTAAACAAGGACTAAGAATTTTGCAACTTCAATGATGTGCAAAATAATATGTTTTTAGAATGGCATTAAAATTGCCTAATAGATGTCTTCCAGAGCTTATTTAACAATTTTCGTTATTTAGTTTACACTTCAATTTCGCTGCAAGTACATAAAAAATTTGACAGAATTTTTACAAAAAGACACTTCGCAGTTTTTCATTCATTCACAACACACATAGGAAATGCATGATACAGATGTTGCCAGCGCAGCACCTTTATCATTTATTTTAATAATTTTCTGTACCTATGAAATTATTCTTTACACTTTGTAATCAGTAGAAGAGTCATAAATATAATCCAATAAAAATGTGACTTGAATAATAAACATATATTGAAACATAATAGGAACACATGAATCTCAATTCACTTTAAAATATATCTTCACTTTAATTTGATTTTAATCAATTATATCATTTTCAGAATGGTAATCATCGTTTTGAATTGGGACAAAGGTTGGTTAACAGGATAAGGCCCCATCACCTAATATTTCACATAAAAAAAAAATATAATAATAATAATAAATAAATAAATTTATAAAATTTTTTAATCAACTAAACCAACAGAAAAAGAAAAAAAGAATAAGTCAACAATAAGTCCCCCAACCGTGCTTGTTGCATCAGTATCATGCGACCGATGCTAAAATTGGACCCCACTTTTCCTCCAAGAATGTCGTCACTGTAACTGCCATCTCTAGTTAAAAAGCTAACTCAGGTTGGCATCACTGCACACAATAAGGAGACAACCTAACCGTGTTCCAGATAACTACATACAATATTATTGAAGAGAGAGATAAAACTGAAAACCGTGTGTGCGAGAGAGAGAGAGAGATTGTACAGTAAATCAAGACTTCGGTACCGCCGTTTCGCGTCTGCTCAAGAAAATTCCGTTTCACGGCGCGGCAGCGCACAGTAACGGTCGCACGTTCTATCTAACTGTTACAACGGTTTATTTTGTATACGAATTTACTATTTTACCTTTATTTCATAGTTAAACTTTCGCCGAGCTTTTCAAGAATAGAGTTTTATCAAAGAGATTGATCTAGTCATGGCAAATAGAGGCTCGCTTTCTCAGCAACAAATCAACGTTTCAGCTGAAGGTCAAATCTTTACAACGATTCTTAGTTTATTTTTGTAGTTTTTTATTATTTATAAAGAAATCGATTTTCGGACAATAATGTCTTGTTTTTCTTCAAAATTTCAGGGCGCGGTGCTGAGGATGTTTTGTATAAGGAGCTATGGAAGGCTTGTGCAGGTCCATTGGTAGATGTTCCAAAAAGTGGAGAGAAAGTTTATTATTTTCCTCAAGGTCACATGGAACAAGTAAGTAATCTTTTCATTTTTTCTATTTTTTTTTTCTTTTTTGGCTCTTATGGAGTGAAAATTTGTAAAGACTCCTTGTTGAGATCATATGTTGGGTAATTAATGTTACATCTTTGATTGATGTGGGATATTACCCTTAATAAAATTCTGGTTTTTGGGTTTGGTTAGTTGGACGCGTCTACAAATCAGGAACTGAATCAGAGGATAACAATGTTCAGGTTGCCTTCAAAGATCCTATGTCGTGTTTTTAATGTTCACCTACTGGTATGGACTATACAATTTTTTATTTTATTTTATTTTAATTCTTGGTTTGTTTCTGAAAGAAGTGAATAATAATTCTATTTTCCGTTAAAAAAATAAAAAATCGTATGCTAGGAATATAAGTGGAGAATATAGTTTCTCATTCTTGAATTTTTATCTGTTTTAGGCTGAGCAAGACACCGATGAAGTTTATGTACAAATAACTTTGATGCCAGAAGCAGTAAGATCTTAAATTATTCTCCGGTGTATCAGTGATTGGGAAGTGTATTCCCTTTTATTTATTTATTTTTTTTTTCAGATAAAAAATTTAAGTTATTATTGGATAAAACTTTTGTAGCGAACCGAGAATGTAAGTCCTGATAAGGTTCCTCCCGAGCAATCGAGACCTGCAGTGCAATCATTTTGCAAGGTTTTGACAGCCTCTGATACCAGCACACATGGTGGATTCTCTGTTCTCCGTAGACATGCTAACGAATGCCTTCCTCCCTTGGTAGTAAATTATCGCCTTCTCCAAACGGGTTTTTCTGTTTTTCTTTTGCCAGATGTCTCTCTGCATTCTTGTTGTTTGGGTTGATAAGAACTTTGTCTTAGCTACGGTACCCTGTTGTTCTTGGACCAGGATATGAACCTGCAGATACCAACCCAAGAATTGGTAGCCAAAGATTTACATGGCACTGAATGGCACTTTAAGCATATATTTAGAGGTAATATTTCGTTTAGGCCTTGCTAATTCTCCTGTTTTTTATTTACTGGCTGGTGTGGATAAGCTATTTTAATAAAATAATTGATTAATGTATAAATGCCAATCCTGATTGTATGTGTATGATATTGATTTCTGCTTGGAATCCATATATATCTGTCAAAAACTGAACAGGTCAACCCCGACGGCATTTGCTTACAACGGGATGGAGTACATTCGTTACTTCTAAGAGATTAGTTGCTGGGGATTCTTTTGTTTTTTTGAGGTATTTCTTTATTATATACTCTTACAATGATTTTGTTTCTGGATAAAAAATCTCACTTTCCTTTCGTTTTTTGAGTCATCGAATTTGTAAAACTTTGTTTCCAGGGGAGAGAATCGGGAATTACGTGTTGGAGTTAGGCGTCATGCTCGTCAACAGTGCACCATGCCATCTTCAGTTATTTCAAGTCAGAGCATGCATCTCGGTGTGCTTGCAACGGCATCTCATGCAGTTTCAACACAGACCATATTTGTTGTTTATTACAAGCCAAGGTCTGATAAATATTCTCGTTTTTTTCACTTAAACCGCTGTTTGTGTATTCATCTTCTTACACCTGTCGTCTGTGGCAAAATGTTTTAGAACGAGTCAGTTCATCGTAGGCCTCGACAAATATCAAGAAGCTGTAAATCACGGTTTCAAAGTTGGCGTGAGATTCAAGATGAGATTTGAGGGAGAAGATTCTCCCGAGAGAAGGTTGTTTTAAATTAAATATACGCAACTGTGTTATATTAGACGTTTGTAGGTTGATTTGCTAATAGTTTTTCGATTTTGCCACTCTAATGCATCAGGTTCTCTGGTACAATAGTTGGGGTGGAAGATATTTCTCCCCACTGGGAGGATTCGGACTGGCGATCATTGAAGGTTAAAAATATGCTGATCTTCTTACTTCCAAATCAGCATTATTGAAAGACTGAAGTATAAAATTTTACTCTCTTTTCTCCTCATATTCACAGGTTCGGTGGGATGAACCTGCGTCCATTCCAAGACCTGAAAGGGTCTCTCCATGGGAAATAGAACCCTTTGTGGTGTCAGTTCCCACCACCCCCGCGTTGGTTCATCCAATGGGAGTGAAGCATAAAAGGCTTCGATCACAAGCTGAAATTCCAGTTCCTGGCTGGCTTAGTCTTTCAAAGTTCTCTCCAAATATGTTTTCTGAAGAAACCGAAGAGAGTAAAAGTGCCTCGGCATGGCCTATCTTTTCAAACAATTCAGCTCAGGATTCAGGAAAACTGAGCAATACCCCAATGTCACATACAAATAATGAGAAGAGAGAGGCCACTGTTGCAACATGCCGATTGTTTGGTATCAATTTGTCAAGTCCCTGTGGCCGTCATGAGGATTTTCCTCCAAAACCAATTGACATATCAAGCGATAATGGTGATGGATATGGTCCAAGTGCACTTTCCTCGGTCAATTCGAAACAAAAATCGAAGGATTCCAAAGACCTGAAGAAAGAGCAGTTTCAAGGACACACAAAGGAGGCTCAAAGTAGACACGGTCCCTCCACCAGAAGTCGAACCAAGGTATAATCACTTCTAAATACATTACTGATTCAGCATTCATCACTCTGGAAATGGTTCTTGATTTAAAAATTTGTGTTTGGTTGGGTGAACCCTTGAGAAGGTTCAAATGCAAGGAGTTGCTGTGGGTCGTGCTGTTGACTTGACTGCATTGAAGGGATACGATGAGCTTATAAGTGAACTTGAAGAGATCTTTGAAATAAAAGGGGAACTCCGGCCTCGAAACAAATGGGAAATTGTTTTTACAGATAACGAAGGGGATATGATGCTCATGGGCGATGATCCATGGCCGTAAGTCTGCTTTTTCTTTGTCATCTAAATGTTGTTTCTTCATATGTTTGGTTTGATATGGTAATTTTCTTGCAGAGAATTCTGTAATATGGTGCGGAGAATTTTAATTTGTTCGACCCAAGACGTGAAGAGTATGAGAACAGGGAACAATACTCTTCCTTTGTCTTCTGACAATGAAGGAACCTTCTTTAACTTGGAAGAAAATTAAAATCAATCTCACCCTTTCTTTTCCATTTTCCGTCTTTGTTTTTCTTTCAGAGTAAATAGGATCTTATAGATGATCGAGGAGACTTGTTTGTTCATAGCTCGGTTCGAGGATCCTTTGACTAGATTTCATGTATAACAAGAGTATGCTAATTGTGTATTGTTAGAATCTGTGTATGTTAGGTGTGTTCCTGGCTAACATAAATGCCAACTTTTCTTACCCTATGTTTGTATATACGAGTGGATTTAGAAATTTCAACATTGAATCATGTGAATTTATGCATTTTACTGTGGGATTTCAGGATCTTATAATTTATTTGTATCTAATAATTGATTTGACTTGAAAATGACATCAAAATACAAAATTCTGGGCCAAGTGGAAGATACTTGTGACAAGAAATAGATAGGCTATTTCTTAGAACGAGTGAAGATTATGACATTTAAGATGGAACGTTGTTATCATCGAAAGACCTTGACAAATCAAATGAACCTGTAAAGCTAGAATATTCTGTGTGTTGGAGAAGTGATTGCAGGGTATTTTCAGTTGACCAAATGTATATTCCCATTCCAACCTTTGAATTTGAAAGGAATATCCATGACTAGATCCTTCATAACATGTTCATAGAAAACCATTGACCTTTGAATCGTAACGATTCTACGGTCAAAAGATTTCTCATTGCCTCTCGCTCTTGATCCACCTCTATGTTACCTATACACTAAAATTTCAATAGAATGCAAGGCTGTCGTACCAAAATGTTTCGTCGACTATCTATACTTTGACTGTCAAATCATTTACTAAAATGTTTTGAGTGTGAAAATTATAAATGGACGAAATTTTGGCTAGATTTATATCTTTTGTTGTGTGTCTAGGGTATTTAAAGAAGTTTTGAGTATGTGTAGTTCCGATCCTTTGAAACTTGTTGACTAGTGAGCCACCTTATTAATGTGGTATCTTTGATTTGTACTTCATACCCCTATTATTTTGTTTCTGAAAGTGGTCATATTGCTTAGTCATCTCAAGAGTATCATATTGTTTCTTGGATCTTTTTAATTAGGAAAAGGTCTACAGCGAAGAACAATAGTGTCATAAGAATTAGCTTATTTGGGAAGATCTAATGGCCGCTATTGTTGCTGCAAAGGGTGTCAGAGTAGAAAGATGCTTCTCCCGATACAAGGGGTCATTGCGTCGCCTATGTCACAGTGTCTAAGGTTGGGACTTTCTCTCTCCTTTGAGTCTAAGGTTTGCCACATGGCGCCTTAGAGGGAATTTCGCTTGAGAATCTTGGTGTGGTGAACTTTAGTTTGACCATTGGTGCATTTGCGATTTGCCTTCACCTCGCTATGTTTTGCTGGGCATAACGCTTCCACGTGATCCACAATTACCTTGTGTCTAAAATTTATTTCATGTCTCTTTTCTTTTACTCTTTTTAATCTTGTTCTATCTAGTTATCAAAACATCCTTTATGTGTAATTTTGATAGTATTCAACCGCACCCATCGAGTCAACCTTACCTTTGCCTTTTGAATCAACACTTTTTTTTTAAAAAACATTTCTAGCCTGAAAAGAAGCACAAAAAAATGCAGTTTAGCAAACAAATAAGAAGCAGTTACAGAAGTCATATGGTAACAGATGGGTTACTGACTTCATCTGTTGGTCCAGATTCTCCGACAGTGTGGCCCTGATTTTTCTCTGAATTTGTTCATAATTTCTTTTATTGAACTAGAAATCAACACAATCACAGAATCGGACATACACTGCATGTGTGATTTGATGTCTAGCATGTCTGTACAAATTTCACCTTGCATGCAAACAAGAAGGTTTAGTTTCTTTTGCTGATTAGACTTCAAAGATGACATCTTTGATTGCATTGCCTGAAGCTGCTTGCTGAGCAATCAATTTTTTGGACCGGAGATCACATATTTGTCCGTTGAAATAATTCCTCAATTCCTCAACCACATACATCACATAAATACATATGATCAGGTAACTGATGATGGTGAAATGTGAAATAGAACAGTCATCTGTGACCCATATTGAAATGTCATTTGATGTGTGACCTAATAATTGAGACATGTGACCTGAATATATTTCTGTGACCAGTAATGAATGACTGTGTCAACAACATTTGATGACAATAATTGGACTTGTGACGTGATGGATAAAACTGTAACAACTTACATTATTTGATGACTGACCCTCTGAATCAAGTGTATGTAGATCAGTTTTGTCGGCTGACTTACGCTCTCCACCTGGTGAATCTTCGGTAGTGGGTCAACAAAATCGTCATCATCAATGTGTACATCAGAGTGCCCCAGTCTTCCATTAGTTATCAGAAGCATAAGAGTAGATTGTTTCATCCCCGAAGCACTTAGTTTAGTACTGGTCCGAACACGATGAACTGATTGATTTATGCTACCATCCTTTCTCTTCTCCCCACGTGACTGATCAGGTAGGACAGGTTTTTCATACCGCACCTCCGTCTTGTACGACATTGCCATTTCAACTTCTGGGAGTTTCAAGTCACATATTTCCAATTGCCATTTAGAACACAATAAAAGTTTATTATCAGCAAAACAAAAATATAGGAACGATCAGATATAATGTTGCAATTTGAAAATATATGAATATATGTTGAAATCGGCAGTTATATTGACATGTATTGTCATATAACAACGTCAAGCGTGTCGTAAAAATACCTATGACCTATATCGAATTTCTGTGACAGACTAAATAGCATATATAACTTCATGAATTTGATTTGTAACTTGACGAAATTAATTTGATTGACTTAATATGATCTGCAACATGTAAATATGTGCAAGTACTAATTCATATATAATAATGATGTAACAGTTGTCACTTACATCTGGATTGGAGAAGCATTCAGGCCCCTCGAGCTTAGCAGTCGATGCGTGGTCGTCAATCGTCCAATTCCTAATTTAGGGGTATAATTTGGATATCCTTCTAACTACGTATCCATCGAGGCTGATAACAGTCTCGTAAATCCATACCTGAAATGCTACAAACAAGCCTCTGAATCTATAGTGAGTTGTTCTCTTACTCAATCTCTCCCTCAATGAAGTTACTAGTGTGTTGAACATCGACTTATGCCATGGGAACAAATTCATAGCATTAAAATCTTCAACTAGCACGAACAAGAAGTGATCCACAGCCTTCTTGTAATCTCTCGGATATAGATATAATGTTATGAAATACAATGCACCTACCATAGAAACATCTGCATCCGGAATGTTAGATGCACCAAGGAATGCTTCTTTGACGTCTTCATGAGTCACATTTTTCAACTTTTGAAAATATGCATTTTTCAAACGTGAATGGGTGTTCTCCATCCTACTTGTATCACTGAACAAAACTTCGAAATTGAGAACCTTACACGTCTTCCGGCTATGTTAAACCACAACTCACTCTCATTAGGTTGTTGCACCTACCTCAACATAAAGTAGTATATTAGCTAGGATTGGACAACGATTTCGTCGCATTCCAGGAAGTGGGGAAAACTCGTATTCTGCAGTATTTGACGTTGGGCTACATTTAGATTGTTTTTTAAATTTGTCAGCACTTTCTTCATTAGGGTAATTGTAATTTTTCTCGAAAACCAACTCTTCTCCGGTATGGTAAATCTCTAAGCCTGCAAATTGGTCACAAAAAACGCAACATTTGGTCACAGATGGGATTCAGGTAAAAAAATAACAACATGTGGGTCACAAGTCCCCTCCCACATAAAAGAACTGATCAGCACACTTAGAAAACGATACAATCCCCTTACATAAATCACAATTGAACAACCAAATTTCAAAATAATAGGAAAAACCCTTTTTAGAGTCCAGCATTTCGATTATAATTACACACTACAAATTCAATGCAACATATCTCTCAAATTCAAAATAATTCATCCATACACGTTACCCATCCATTAAAATGTTCATATGTGTGCTCAAAAATAAGTGAAAAATTAAATAAAGAAAACAGACCTTTTTCGCGGGCAAAGTTGTGGCGAGCCGTGTGGATTTGTATCCTTTAGAGGAGGAATCTTTTTGCACTTCATCAACCTTCTGTTTACCTCGTGTTTGAATCATGGCTTCCAATTTTCTCCCCTCGCTTATCATTCCTTGAACAAGCCATTCTTTAAAAATTTTGCAGTGTACGGTTCGACTGTGGCTACGATATGTTGCTTGAACTCTATTTAATGGAAGTCGATTCGATCGTGGACAATGGCCGTCACGAGTTCGCCATGGATCAGGCAGCAATGAATGGCAGTATAGGGATTGATTGAACAGCGGGGGTAGTCGTAAGCTATGGAGTTGTGACTGAACGTGGGATAGTTTATGGAAAGAACGTGTAGGGAAGTTCTCCAAAATATAGAGTTACCAAATTTTAAAACACTTGAAATAAAGAAACATGTACTATATGTTTTTTAAATAAATAATATTAAAAAAATTTGATTTATGAAATATCAAACTTCCAACTTGATTTAGGAATTTTGAGTAATTAAAATATGATTTTATATAATTTCCACTTAGATTTATACCATAAAAAAGATTAAAACCTTCCAAGACCGTATTTAATACTTTGATAAAACCCCAAACTAAACTATCCCAACATGTTTCTCCACCAACTCTGCCTTCATCCAAAAAGATTGTGATGATTAATCCAGACAATTGTATCATGGAGTTGCATAAGAGGGTTGAAGTGACAAAAATGACAAGTCAGTGAAGGACTTGGTGCTGCTACTCTACGAGATTGTGCTGTTGACTTTTGGATTTAGACTTGATGACATAAACACATTTTCTGCAAAAATTGACCTAATGTTGAAGTTGGGTTGTGTTGGGGATCGTACTAATATGTTTGTAATTTCTTAGGAAGGCTAGAAGAGGAGGGATCCATGGAGAAGGCTGCTTGATATCAATGTAGAGGACTTCGTCACCAGTGACTACCGGAGTAGGAATGATGAGACTTAGCAAAGCTGACTGTTGTGTCCTTGGGAGCAGAAATAGAAGAAGAATGAAGATCTGGGGTATATTATTATGAGCAGGTAAATTTTTGTATGATTTGTGGGTACAATCTTGGTTGCCAGACATTGACAATGAGCCATTCTTTATTGACATATGCAATTTTACACAAATGTCTGATGTTGCCTCTGCAATTTTGCCCGATGACCCAAAAACACAAGTGCTATGATAGCTATGTGTTGAAATGTGGAAGCAAAATTAATCAGAAATTAAAATTTTCTTTAATTCAATAAGCAAGATCGTCTAAATGTTCACGTCTATGTTATAACAAAATTA